CGGATCCAACACCCGGGTGTGCACCTCCCACATAAAAAAAAAGTTGGACTGGGTGATGGACATTTTTTTTTTATATGATGTGTGCGCACCCGGGTGTTGGACCCGGGTGTGCACACATCATTTTCCTTTAAAATTACACCATTAATTTCCTATGTTACGTACAAAAATAAAAAGAAAGATTTGCTTGGTATTTGATTGAGACTATTCCTTTCTTGAGTGATTTTAAGAGTACATCCCAGAATATTCATATTATAATTATGTTGATTGGGTTTACATTATAATTTATTGATATAATTATGTTAATTGATTTTGTACCATAGAATAATCTCTTGTACAGGTTTATAAATAAACATTTTGTATATTAGTGAAATTAATAAAGGAAGAGTTTCTTTCTTCATATATCTTTATATTTTTCTTCTCTTTATTTTTTTCTATCATGGTATCAGAGCCTTGAGGTTTTTTTTACTATTACTGTTCATCTCCTTTGTAAGTTGCTGCTTTGCTTGTAGGTGGTGTCGATCATCATCATCTTTGCTTTCTTTCTTAGACTTATTTGCAATTGGGTTTTCTTGATTATGTTCCTTTGTTGCGCCGACAATACGTGTTACTCCCACAGCTAGTGTTGCTCCAACCTTCTCGCATCCAATTGCCGTTGATTTTTGCTCTTGATTTCTTGTTGTTGATTTTGCTCTTGATTTCTTGCAATTGAACTTTCAACATTGCTGTTGCCCAGATCTGATATTGCCTCCTTCTCCTCCAACGGCGTCGACTACACCGATCTGCATATTCAGTATGCAGATCTTTTCACCAAAAACTCACTTTCCTAGACGCTTCCGCACTCTTCTTTCCAAACTCAAGCTGGTCTCCTCATCACCACCTTGAGTTTGAGGGGGATGTTACAAAATATTCATATTATAATTATGTTGATTGGGTTCACATTATAATTTATTGATATAATTAGGTTAATTGATTTTGTACCATAGAATATTCTCTTTTTACAGGCCTATAAATAAGCACCTTGTATATTTAGTGAAATTAAGATAGAAAGAGTTCTTTCTTCATATATATTTATATTTTTTTTCTCTTTATTTTTTTTCTATCACCTACATTTGTTTAGTGCATTCAAGGAAATTAATTTCCTTAAATGCTAGCCCCAAAACTTTAACCTTGAACTTGATCTACAAGACAGACATCCTTCTCCTCCCCTCTTCTTCCTTCTCTTCCCCCCTCCTTGATCTCGGTTCTGGAGAACCCAGGTCTGGGTTCTCGGAGATCTGGGTTCTTCAAGAGAACCTAGACCTAGGTTCTCACAAGTTCTCCATGAGAACCAAAATCTGAGTTCTCCTTCAAAACCCACGGGATGGAGGAAAGAGGGAAAAAACGAAGAGGAAGAAGGAAAGAGGAAGAAGGAAAGAGGAAGAAGATAATGAATTTTTATAAGTTTTTGTTAGAATTTTTACAAATTTGATAATATGGTGTATTGTTTGATTGATAGATAAGACAATTGGAGGTGGAAAGAAAATTTCTTTGGTAGGAAGGGGGGTTGGTGTTTGGTTTGGGATGATTGACAATTGTCTTACAAATGATTAGGATGAGAATGGAGGTGAGGAGGAAGATGGATCTGGTGAAGATGATGAACGACAAAAAGGAGAAAGGAAAGGAGAGAGAAAACGAAAGGGTTCGGCTGGATGAGTGTGGAGTTAACGGTGGAATTAACGAGAAATAACGAAAAGAGAAGGTGTGTAATAGACTGTGTGAAAGTTGAGGGTAAATGTATCATTGTCCTTATTGGTAGACATTTGATTCAACATACTTTTTAACATTTGTTTGATTTAATTATTAAAATATATAATAAAAATACAATTTGATTCAACCGATTCTTATGTTTTGTATGCATGGTTGTATTTTTAAATTTGTTTACTTTTAATTTCATATTAAAAAAATAAATTTTTAATAAATATATTGTATAATGTGTTAATTAGATTGTAGATTAATCAATGTTTGTTATATATTATTTATTTGATTGGTGATAATTGAATTTTATATTATATATTAATCTTAATTTCTACTACAAATATTCAATTATATAAATGTATATAAATGTGTGAAATGTGACTGAACCATAAAAAAAGTGATTAAAATAGAAAAGTGCTACCAATACTCTCATTGTAATTGGATTATATGCCACATAACATTTATGTGATTTGTGATAATTTTTAAATTTTAATATTTTAACTTCATATATATATATATATTTTATCTTGGTTGCAAAATAAGAGACAAATCCTTTCATCCCTTATTCCACGCTATTCA